AACATAGCATATCATAGCATAGCAACTACTGCTGCTTTCCTAGGGGCTCCAACTTCCAGGTAGGGTCGCACTGGGGTAATTTATGGTTTTGACGATGATGGTGATGAGCAGGCATTCGCTGCGTCGGCGAGTGAGGCGCAATCCCATCTCGCGTCGGCCCCTTCCAGCCACGGCCCCTTCTCTTAACTCGCAGTGCCCTCGCGCGAGTTTTGGGTTGGACATCGGTCTCGTTGCTACTGGTTTTTAGTGCATCATGATATTGAAGGCCCTCCCCTGCCTGAGCGGGCATGTCTCGACGCTCCAGGTCTACGCCATGGTGTCGAAGACGTCTACGGCGAATCACCGCCGCCCCCTGCCTTTTTTGGAAGCGCCCATGTGCCCGAAAGCTGGGCCAGAGCTCTCGGACCACGTGTGCCCCCAGCTGTCGTTGAAGCCGTTCGTGGGACACGTGGTGAATCGGGGGTGGACAGAACCCCCAACAGTGACACGTCGATTAGTGAATTGTCCGTTTTCGGTTTTCGAGAGGGCGCCGTGGCCGTTATTTTCCAGGCTTGCGCCCGCCAGGTTTGGGCCTCAGGTCGTTTTCACTAAACCACGTTTTACTAAAGGGAGGTCTCTCCATCCCCGAGTGAAGAGGACGATGAGGAGAAGAAGGGCAAGACAGTACACCTTAGGCGATGCTTAAGAGAACCCAAGTCTTCGTCCAGAGCCTCGATTATTCTTCACGTTTCCATGTAAATCCCAAGATTTCAATAGAAGTTCTAGGTTTTTTCTGCAAATTCTGAGACTCTGAATTTCTTAACCCATGGTTTCTTAAGCATTTCGCAGGGTGTAGGAGGAGGAAGAGGAGCAGAAGGGACGCGGCTCGCTGGCTGGAGCACCAGCCCCGCGCCCTCGCTCCGGAGGGGAGGGCGGCGCCTCCCCGGGCTGCGGGCCGCCCCGTCGCCCCGTCGCCCCCGCCGGCCCCCGCCGGCCGGAAGCCGCAGCCTGGGCCGCCACCTCGGAAACTTGCCGACTCCCCCTTGGCTCCGGACCCGTCTGTGAGCCACGATCGGGCCGGGCGAAAGGGGGGGATTGGGAAAGGGGGGGTAACGAAATTAGCTGCATGCAGCTGGTTTCGGCCCCGCCGAGGGGTCTATTCCTCGATACATGGCCGCCTCCGGCGCCGGGAGGCGCCGGGAAAATCAGCTACGTGAGCTGATTCTCAAACCCCCCCTTTGCTATCCCCCCCTTTCGCCCGACCCGACACGATGCCCCGCTGGAGAAGGGAGCCCCGGCGGCCCGAGCGCCATCGGCCCGGAGTGCCGCCCCGGAGCCGACCCGGGTGGCCGCGGGGGACATGACGCCTCGCCGCGGTTCGGAGGCGTCTTCGACCTGGCCCAGCGGTTGGCAGCACGCAGGCGGGAGCCCCTCCGAGGCGGAGCCCGCCTGGGGGAAGCGCCCTACCCCCCAAAGGAGGGGCCCGCTGACGGGATCACCCCGATGGTCGAGGAGATCCGCACCGGGCCCGCAACGGGAGCCCCGGAGTGCACGAGCCGCCCCCGTGGCGGTGGCGGGGGAGCTGGGAGACCCTCTACCCCTGGCTCTCCCAGGTCGAGGGTGCCGACTCGGCCGACGCGCGGGGGGAAATCGAAGAGGAGGGATGGCGGCGGCGCCAGTGGTTCTCGGGCCGCCGGCGCAAGGTCAACCAGGAGGCGCAGCGCGCTCGCGACTATGGCATCGCGGGGCGGTTATTCGGTTCTCCTGGTGGATGCTCGGAGCAGCTGACGCCGCCCTCTTCTACCTCCCGGGCCTCGGGTGGGTGGACTTCAAGGCGAGGGTCGACGGGTGCTTCGTGGTCTGGGCCCCCTCATGAGAACCTCTTGTCCTCGCAGCGGACTGGGGGACTCGGCCCCCTCCACTGGATCTACTGGCGACTTGCGAGATCCCCACTCTCTCGGAAGTGGTGCACCCAAGTGGAGGACCCGATCGGCTGTTCCACATCCTGGAACTGGACGGGCGATGATTTTTTTTTCAAAAGGGCGCGATGCGAGCCCGGAGTGACCAGCCCCCCCGCTTGCCAAACCACCTCGTGGGAGAGATACGGGGGCGCCGTCTTCGGCCCGACTGGGGCCGCTGCGGGGGTCCCATCAAGGAGGAGAAACAGCGCGGACAGGATTTCCGCGCTCCCGGGCCCACAGCTGCGCCGACCCGCAGTTCTGGGGGACCTTGGAGCAGGCGGAGGCCAAGGTGATCCATCTATGCAGGGATGGAGCCGGTCGCGGCAGGGTAGACGCCTGCGTGCTACACTTGCGCAAGTACGCGGGCGTCGACGCGAAGGCGGTTCTAGATCTGGATTTGAACCGAGTGGTCGGGGGCCCCGCCGTCGCCGCCCTCGCGGGGATCCATGGCCAAGAACCGCTTCGCCGCCTATCTCCACCGCGTTCTGGGCGCGGGACGTTGCCGCCGCCGCCATGGCGCATCCATCGGCAGTGGAGTGACTATAGTGACTGCAACTCTACTTGGAAGGTACTGATCTCTACGCAACGTCACAACAAGTGGATTGCACTTTCAAGTGTCGAGCAAAAGCTAAGTTACATGGAAGGCGTGTGCGGCATCACGCATCTTGCACGTCAAATGTACAAATGTGTACAGATGAT